TAAAAGCTGCACTACAGGCACATTATACGGCCAAGGCCCCAGCGAGTACCTGCCTGATTACAGAGCCCACTGCCTCTTACAAACTGTACACAGCCCTGGTGAGAACGTACAGTCATGGAGAGATCTGCACACACCCCTGGCAAGACGCACATACAAACCTGGTGAGACCCTCACGCAGCCATGGAGAGGCCGCACAACCCTGGCGAGACCCACATGTTGGTTGTTGCAAGGTTTGTATATTGTGACAAGGTTTATAGGAAGGCTTATGTGTCGGGTGTAGCCATCCTGTACTTCCCAGCGACTGGCCCCTCCCCTTGATTGCAGTTCGGTGTTTGACCAGGCCCCTGCATTTGGGCTGGGCCTTCGGGGGTCACATGATTGGGCTGCTCAGTCTAAAATGGACGGGCCTATTTTTTGTCCCAGTCCGGCCCTGCTGGTAACCATCAGATATGTCTTTAGGGTGTTCCATGCTGCATGAGTTTTGTCTAGATATACACAAGTTTTAAATGTAGATGGACCAATACATTTTCTACATTTTACTCATGTATTCCTTTTCATGTCTGTTGGTATAGCCCTGAAGAAGGAGGATGTGTCGGTCCAAGGAACACAACTGATTTTGGACGCTTAGATGTTGTTTTGGTGCTATCATTAGACTAAAGGGGTTATTCACAATAATAACCACCCATAGGTTCCCTCTGTCAAAGCACCCTCACAATGTCAAGGGCATGTGGCCTGGTGTGGTGCCGGAAGGGGGGGGGGGGGGGGAGGGGGGGTGCATGCTTGTTTTCACCCCTTTTTCTGATATGTCAGGCTGCTGCTCAGATTTAGGTCTCGTTCACACCTAGGCGTATTGTATATGCGCGTCTGTCGCGCGACCGTCGCGTGTTTTTTCACCGCCATTCGCGGGGAAAAAGTTGCGCGACCGTCGCGCGTTTCCGAAGGCTACTTGGCTGTATCCCAATGGAAACGCGCAACAAAAAAAGTAGTACCTGTACCTTTCCAGGCGCGGGCCGTTTTGTAGTGCGTTAGGGACGGGTGGAAATACGCCGAGGTGGGAACGAGACCATTGACTACAATGCGATTTATATTTTTGAGCGTTTTTTTAGCGTTCGTCGAGCGTAGAGCACGCTACAAAACGTTCAGGTGTGAATGAGGGGTGAGGGTCTGGTATGTGATTTTATGGGGGACCCCACTTTTTTGGAGGGGTTTTGGCATTGGAGTGTCTCTTAAAATTTCTACCTGACCTAAAGGGTCTGATATGATTTGGGGAGGGGACTCCGCACTGCTTTTTTAACTTCTATCTTTTAACTAACATTCACTGCTTTGGTCCACTTTGGCTGTTTGTTCGGCTTTGCTGAGCCGGAGTATGTTCGTTCGGCTCAGGTATATTCTGTTGTTTACTTTGGCCGCTATACGCAGTATTGAGAATAGCATGTACAGCAGCCATTCGTTTTAGCCGAACTGAACGCTTTCTCCAGCCGAATCAAGCTGAACGATTAGCTGAACTTTCGGCTAAATCATTCGGCAGCTTTGTGAATAACCCCTATATATACATGAGGATTCCCATCGCACGGTCTTCCGGCCCTTTACCAAGGGACGTCCTTAGTACCTTCTAAAACCTTGTATCCAACACGTCACTTATACCTTTATGTGAAGTATCAGAGTCATCCTTCATGGCTGCCACCATCAATGTCTAAAATGAAAATGCCTTTAAACATTCTATATTTTGGTACAAATCTAATCAACCTAAAGATCAACCAATAAATAAATTCTTATTCTGTTGGATCTTCCAGTCTTTGCATGATGGACTGAAGAGTGATGGGTAATGCCACTCATTATATTGTTCTTAATTCTTCAGTTGGTAGTCCTGCTTTTACAACCCAAGAGACACCTACCAGTGACAAAAATCATAAGACATATATCACTTACCTGCAACTCGATGAGGGAAAACTGTCAGAAAGGGAGAGATTACAGATTAGAGTTAGACATTTCTAATGTCAATACAGGTAAATCTCATTTATCTTTACAGAAAGTTAGGACAAGTGATTTCTACAAAGAGGAAGTACAAATAAAGAGAGATGCTGGATGTATTCAAATATGGCCAGACTCAACTGAATTGCATTGAATAGTTGTATATTCTGTATATATTGTGAAAATCTGCTCAATACTTCATAAAATGCTGGTGGAGATTTACACACTGAGTCTGACCACTTTGGAGAACATCCAGTACCCCTGATGAAGGAGTGTCTAAATCCCAGAAACGTGCTGGCAGTTTTTCTACGGATTATTGATCATCATTTTCGACTCTTTGATTATTATTTCGGCACTCGGATTGCATCTTGTATAGTACCGAGACTTTTCTATAAAGAGAAGATTGTTTCATTATTTATTTATTAGGACTTCCAGAATGAGTCTTGGATTTAGGTCACTTCAGCGTCAGTTTACTAAGCAGCAGGAGATATTTCACACACATACATTATACTTTCTAAAGAAGTTCTTTTTACCAAAATCATCAATTTACAGAAATATTAAATTGGCATGGAATGTTTCTTCCTCGTAAAATGGCAATTTAACTGCAAGAAGAATCCTTGCTCATGATAGCCAATAAGTAGTAGTTGTGTGACAGACCTAGGGATGCAGAGATTTATCACACCGGAGTTTATAAACATTGATCAGAGGGAGATAGAGAGATACAAAGTAACATTGTTTATAAACATTGATCAGAGGGAGATAGAGAGATACAAAGTAACATTGTTTATAAACATTGATCAGAGGGAGATAGAGAGATACAAAGTAACATTGTTTATAAACATTGATCAGAGGGAGAGAGAGAGAGATACAGTAACATTGTTTATAAACATTGATCAGAGGGAGATAGAGAGATACAAAGTAACATTGTTTATAAACATTGATCAGAGGGAGATAGAGAGATACAAAGTAACATTGTTTATAAACATTGATCAGAGGGAGATAGAGAGATACAAAGTAACATTGTTTATAAACATTGATCAGAGGGAGATAGAGAGATACAAAGTAACATTGTTTATAAACATTGATCAGAGGGAGATAGAGAGATACAAAGTAACATTGTTTATAAACATTGATCAGAGGGAGATAGAGAGATACAAAGTAACATTGTTTATAAACATTGATCAGAGGGAGATAGAGAGATACAAAGTAACATTGTTTATAAACATTGATCAGAGGGAGATAGAGAGATACAAAGTAACATTGTTTATAAACATTGATCAGAGGGAGATAGAGAGATACAAAGTAACATTGTTTATAAACATTGATCAGAGGGAGATAGAGAGATACAAAGTAACATTGTTTATAAACATTGATCAGAGGGAGATAGAGAGATACAAAGTAACATTGTTTATAAACATTGATCAGAGGGAGATAGAGAGATACAAAGTAACATTGTTTATAAACATTGATCAGAGGGAGATAGAGAGATACAAAGTAACATTGTTTATAAACATTGATCAGAGGGAGATAGAGAGATACAAAGTAACATTGTTTATAAACATTGATCAGAGGGAGATAGAGAGATACAAAGTAACATTGTTTATAGACATTGATCAGAGGGAGATAGAGAGATACAAAGTAACATTGTATATAAACATTGATCAGAGGGAGGTAGAGAGATACAAAGTAATATTGTTACTTTTGTGCCTGCTTTATTTCATTTATCTGCAGATCAAAGTGATGAGCTCTCTCTGCATATGAAATGTTTTTTTTATAAATAACATTTGTCCTATTTAACCTGTTTTTTACTTGTAGTTTACCCTAATCAGCCCTAATTAACTTCTTCTTCTCCTTCCTCCAATCTATTATTTTTTTACTTATATTTTTTTTATCTATCTCCAATAGATTTTTCTATATATTAATAATTAATACTTTTTATTTGCAGTTAGAGTTTTTTAAACACTGATTGAAGCATAACAAAGTGTTTCTTACAATTTATGTTTATGGGTTGCATAGAATTTTTTTTTTAAACATCAGCAAAAGAAAGTCTTGCTTGTCCTAAAAACCAATATGTTTTATTAATATTATCTTAAGTAATGAAAAGTTATTGCTAAATAAAACAGGCCCATTGTGAAAATGTAGAAATCTGGTCCATAAGCAGTGTAAAGATGTGAGAGCTGAACTGGTTAAATATTAAATATACACAATAATAGTAGAATGTTACAATTTAAGTTTAATTAAACTTGTGTCACCATTTTTCTGCTCTTTATACAATGAGTTTAGTATTAGGACATGGGTGTGGGCAGCTCTACAGCGTGCACATCCATCCATAAACCTGTGACCAGGAGAAACAGATGGTGCGTGTAGCCCCGTGCAGCCGCCTGTCCAACTCAATGATGATTATTATTATAATACAGGATTTATATGTACTGTAGATATATAGAATATAATAATGATAGGACAGGGCTACAGACTGGCACATCCATACAGGTAAGCATGCATGCTGTTGGACGCAGACAGATTGCAACCAGTGACACATTTATCCCGAACTGCAGGTACTCGTCCATGTACCATTACATGCAGACTACCACTGACGGATGTGGCCACTCCCACTCTGTCATTAACATGAACAGGCACATCTGGAGTTCCTGCATCCGTAGATGCACATAATAGCCCTGCGTGAATGTAGCCTTAGATAATTGCATGAATAGTATACAAATGTTCCTAATAACATGCTTGGTGAGTGTATACATGTATTTAGTATTTGGAAATATTATATATACTTACATTGTTATTTTGAATGTCCATGTCCTGATTTATTGATGCAACTCTAAAATTTACTTCAAGAAGAGAAGAAAAAGAGTCACATTGGGATACACCCATCAAATCATAACTAGCTTTTAGCCGGCAAACAAACATTACACTGTCTAACTATTAGGGTTTAAACAGAGGTTTTAGTTGCACAACATTTGCAAAATATCTGGAAGCCACACTACCTGGTCAAGGCCCCTCTGTGTAGTGCGGTCCTAACTCTAATTTATGAGAGCCTCCATCTTGGAGCACATCAGCAATGGATGAATTGGGTGCAGGTTTGCCATTTGTTTCAATTGTTGGATTTGGTACGGGGGGGCACATGTTTGGCTATATACAATATATGCTCCAAGATGGAAGCTCTCATGGAGTTAGGACCACACTACACAGAAGCGCCTTTATGAGGCAGTGTGGCTTCCACATATTTTGTAAAAATTGTGCAACTAAAACCTCTGTTTTAAACCTAAGAGTTAGACAGTGGCTTTATTTTTCAGGTTAGGTGGTAAGTGTGCTGGGAAATTTTTAATTTTACATTGGAATACACAAAACTTCTGATTCTACCAGTAAGTGTTCATGGGTGTCTTCTACTAGAATACAGATTTAAACCAACAACACAATGCAGATCTTTCTTGAATCTTTGAAGGGCCGTCTTTAAGGCGGGGCAAAAGGGGCACTTGCCCGGAGCCCAGTCATTGTTGCGGGGCCCTGTACGCTAGTAAAACATTTCTGGACTAGCACTTTCTGATGCTAGAGGGCAGCAGCGGGCAGCAGCCTCGTGTCCCTATGTGCAGCAAAGATCTCTGCAGCCCGGCATATCACCTCCCACTCAGCAGAGTAGGAAGATCGATTTTGCACACCCTGCTTCATGGTCCTGCCCTCCTTCCTCCATGGCTGCAGTCTCATCCTCCACCTGTCCACGGTGAGTGCACATGGCTGCTGGGTTGGGCTTCTATCTGGGTGGGGGGGAGAAGGGGGATGGGGTGTGGTCGGGTTAGGTGTGGCACTGCTGGGCTATGATGTAATGCTGTATAAAAATAATAATGACACCTGAGCATGTCCCCCCAGTGTCATTATTATTATTATTATGTCCCCCCAGTGTCATTATTATTATTATTATGTCCCCCCAGTGTCATTGTTATTATTATGTCCCCCCAGTGTGTTATTATTATTATTTACCCCCAGTGTCATTATTATTATTATGTCCCCCCAGTGTCATTATTATTATTATGTCCCCCCAGTGTCATTATTATTATTATGTCCCCTGGTGTCATGATTGTTATCTCCGTCCCCTGGTGTCATTATTGTTATGTCCGTCCCCAGTACCATTATTGTTCTGTCCGTCCCCGTTGTCATTATTGTTCTGTCCGTCCCCGTTGTCATTATTGTTCTGTCTGTCCCCGTTGTCATTATTGTTATATCCATCCCCTGGTGTCATTATTGTTATGTCCATCCCCTGGTGTCATTATTGTTATGTCCGTCCCCCTTGTGTCAGTATTGCTATGTCCGTCCCCTGGTGTCATTATGGTGATGACGTGTGTGTGTGTCCCGCCCCTGTGTGTCCCCTGGTGTCATTATGGTGATGACTAGGGACAGGACCGGATTTTCCCTGCCTGATGCCCCAAGGCCAGGTTCCGCAACGCCGAATACTCGCACTCGCCCAAATGCTCCGATACCAGAACTTCTGGTCAGACGGAGATTTCCTCTGACCGGCAGTGCCGCGAGGGAACATGGAGCCGGGAAGCTGGATCTATGCTATTCGGCCTGCTCGATGCTGATTGGCTGGGAAGCCAAATCATTCCCCTCACATAGATTCTTAGCAGCATTCATTACTGTACCAGTCCCTCGGCCAGATACCGCTCTCCGAGCTCTCCAGGATCTGCCCACATCTCCTGTGTGTACAGCGCCCACGTGATCGGCCCTCAGCCTGCTACTGCGCATGCACAGGATTTCTGACTGAGAGCGCTGGGCAGTCTGCACAGTAGCAGGCTGAGGGCCGATCACATGGGCGCTGTACACACAGGAGATGTGGGCAGGTCCCGGAGAGCGGTGTCTGCCCAGCTGGCCGAGGGACTGGTATGGTAATGACTACTACTGAGGATCTATGTGAGGCGAATGAGATGCCTGTAGAGTGGGGGTCGTGTCACGATATTGTCAGATCTGTTTGGCCAGCCTCGATGCCGATTGGCTGGGAAGTCGGCTTCCCGGGCCAATCAGCATCGAGCCGGCCAAAAAGAATGGAGTCGGCTTCCCGGGCAATCAAGAAGCCGGGCAGTGGGTAATGACACGCTGCCTGG